AGTTTGAGAGTGAGAAACAAGGGCCAGAAACAACAGTGTTTAACTTAAATAGGGAATTACAATGAATTGAGGATAGAGCTAGCAAAGGTAAGCAGGGTGGATAGATTAGCACAGATGATGGTGAGCAAGAAGTGGCAGACTTTTAAGGAGGCAATTCGTGACCATCAGTGACAATGCATCCCAGATAGGAGGAAAGATTCCAAGAGAGAGAAAAACCAACCAGGCCTAACCAAGGAAGTTAAGAAGAATATTAAATTGAAAGAAAAACTGTACAAAGAGGCAAAAGTCAGTGATAGCCAGGATAAATTCAGAATCCATCAAAGGAGGACTAAGAGGATAACAAAGAGAGAGAAAATAAACTGAGGCAAAGTAGTGTGGAATATAAAAACTGACAATAAAAACTTCTTTAAATATATAAAAATGAAGAGCGAGGCCAAAGTGAACATTGGTCCCTTCGAAAATGAATCTGCGGAGACAGTTACAGGAAACAAGGAAATTGCAGAGAGTTAAACAGATATTTTATATCAGTCTTTACAGTGCAAGATACTTCAAGCATCCCATTTGTACTAAAGAATGCAGGGGAGGAATTAAGTGCCCTCACTATCATTAGAGAAGCAGCAATTGAGGAACTAAATGGGCTAAAGACAGTTAAATCCCCTAACTCTGATGGCTTACACCCTAGGATTCGAAAACAGGTAACGAGAGAGTTAGTGGATTGTAATTTTCCAAAAATCCTTGGATTTTGGGGAAGTACCAAAGGATTGGAAAACTGCCAATGTGACACCCCTATTCGAAAAGGGAGGGAAATAAAATACGCCAACTAGTCTATAATCTATTGCACAAAACACAGAAAGCTAGCACACCAGTGTAGCAGGTAATTGGAAAGGCTAATGGAATATTGGCCCTTATTTCAAAGGGTTTGGAATAAAAGAGTAGGGAAGTCATACTGAAACTGTACATGGTGCTGCTGACACCACCTCTGGAGTACTATGGGCAGTGTTGGTCCCCTTATTTAAAGTAATATCTCATTTCGTTGGAAGCAGTTCGGAGAAGGTTCACTAGGATGATCCTGGGTATAGAAGAATTGTCCTATGAGCAAAGATTAATCAAGTCAGGGTTCTACTGACTGGAGCTGAGAAGAATGCAAGGTGATCTCACTGAAACATATTGGCTTCTAAAGGGGCTTGACAGGGTAAAGTTTAAAGAGGATTTTTCCTCTCATGGGAGAGTATAAGACCAGAGGGCATAGTCTCAGAATAAAGGGGCGCCAATTTAAGACTGAGATGAGAAGCAGTTTCTTCTCTCAGAGGGTTGAGAGTCCTTGGAACACCTTGCCACAAGGAGCAGAATCCTTGTGCATATTTAAGCCTGAGATAGGTAGATAAATTCTTGATGAGTAGCAGAAACAAGGGTTATGGGGAAAATGCAGGAAAGGGGACATGAACAATGCTGGATCAGCCATGATTCTATTGAATGGTGGAGCAGGCTCAAGGGGCCGAATGGTCTGGTCCTGTACCTATTTCTTATTGTGTTATAGACCTGGATCTCAGTCTGTAGGGATCCAAAACTTTCCTCTCTTAAAATCACATAAATAATTTCATTGAATAAAACCAGGTAATGTTCACTCAAATGAATATACATATGATCTTACTACACTTTGGCAAACTCCCAAAGTCTATTGCTCTCAGTTTTCAAGAAGATTTGCAGCTCGTATCATTGATGAGGTTGTAGACATGTGTGTCGTTGATGTGGATGATTTTGGACACAGACAACACAGATTCATGGATTAAAAACATCTCAGATCGACCACACACAGACACCGAGAAGACCGTTCTAGTACGCGGAGTGAATTATAACTACAGAGACACCAAAAAGACTGACTTCCTGGCTGCGCTGGAATCGACACTAAAGAACAACGGACTCACAGAAGATATACAACAGACGATAGTTCCAAAACTGAGAAAAAAAGGAAAGTGGAACACATGCAACACAGAAGAGAGGAAAGCTCTGGAAAGATTCAAGAAAGACAGGAACATTGTAATCTTAACAGCAGTCGAAAGGACACATGACAGTAATCGTCAAAAGAGCCCAATACATCGAGAAAGCTAATGCACTACTAGCAGATACCGACATCTACCAACAGATGGCGATATACCCAACTTCACAGTTAAGGAACTGGATTACAACGATCCTGAAGAAGTTACACAGCTCCGGAGACATCAGCAAGACAAACTACCAAAAATTGAAGGCAGATGGATCCAACACACCTTGATTCTAAGGACTCCCCAAGGTACACAAACTAGGGGGGGGGCCGCCTCAGACCCATTCTCTCACTTCCTGTACATCAACTTATAGATTTGCCAAAGAACGACAACACAAATTGAAATACTTAGTGGACAACACCATCCACTCCGTCCACTCATTCCAAGAATTCCTCAAAACATCATGGACACTAGGATAGAAGAGGACGAGATGATGATATCCTTTGACATTACAGCACTATTTACATCCATAAATGTTGACCCAACCAAAGAAACATTTGCCACACTGCTGGACGAATCAAACAAGCAGAGAACCCAGACACCAACATCATCAAAGATCTGTGCCTCACAACCCACTTCACCTTCAACAACGACGGCATATACAAACAAATCAACAGAACACCAATGGGATCCCCAATATCAGGACTGATTGCAGAAGCAGTAATGCAAAGTTTAGAGTGGACAGCGCTTCCCACTGTACAACCCAAACTCTGGGTCCAATATGTAGATGTCACCTTTGTGGTTATCAAACACGCAAAACTAGAAGAAACACAGCGACACATAAACAACATCCTCACCGGGATGAAATTCACAAAATAAGAAGAGAACAACAATGACTACCCTTCCTGGACATAATAGTAAAACGCAAAAACAATGGGGAACTCCAGACTAGTGTATATAGACAGACCACACATAGGGACCAAGTACTCAATTACACTAGCAACCACCCCAACGCCCACAAACAGAGCTGCATCAGGAGGCTGTTTAAATGACAAACAACACACTACAGCAACCTGGAACTACGTAAAACAGAACAGAAGCACCTAAACAGAGTCTTCAAAAGGAATGGATACCCAAAAAGCACAATCCACCATTGCCTCCGAGACCACAACAGGAAGACGCAACACAACCACCATCACTTATCACCCTACCGTACATCACGGACATTTCAGAGGTGACCACAAGACTACTCAGACCCTTAGGTATCAGAGTAGCCCACAAACCAACTACAACAGCTACTGACGAACGTAAAGGATCCCATACGCAAATCCAGCAAAACTGGTGTTAATAGGAGAAACACTACATAGGCCAAACCAGAAGAAAATTAACAATACAGAGACACGAACGCCAACTAGCCACCAAGAGAAACGACCAATTCTCACTTGTCTCACTACACACGGACAACAAGGGACATGAATTCGATTGGGACAACACATCGATGATCGCACAAGCCAAAGGGAGATATGCCAGGGAATTCCTGGAAGCCTGGTATTCCAACCAGAACTCCATCAACTAACGCATTGAATTAGGCCCGATGTATAAACCACTGAGAAACAGAACCTGAAGTAATACCAACCACCGCAGCAAACCGAAGCATATAAATAACAAGTGGGACAGAACACCATAGCTTCACCAGAGGCGCGCTGACAATGTTACCTAGCAGGGTGACAAAATGTTTACAACCAAGCCCGCCAGCTCAGCGAGCATGTCTACATCTTCTATTGGTCTCAATCTCAGCCGAATAACCCCAATAAACCTTAAACATGCGAAAATTAAGAGGAATACTTTTTTCACAATTACCATCTGTGATTACTTCTCTGAAATGAATCAAACTTAGAAAATAAGTTACACAATATAGAGAATTTCAGGTCATTCACAAATGATGACAATCTGGGTGCCATTTTGTGGAAAAATACTCAAGTGTTTCTTTTCCGTTTCACATGTGTATTAATAATAGGCTTTTCAAAACTGAAAGTAAAGCTGACTTATGCAGGAAACATCAAATTTGAAAACTCCACAGGGAAAGATGTCTGTATTTTGCTTGTCATTCCCATGCCCTATATATCACCCCCATTACATTCTCTTCTACATTCCCTCTTTTTTTTTTCCAAGTGACATTCAACCTATTACAGTTTGCCAGGAAAAACAAAGAACAAACTCTTTGTAGCTTAAACTTGTGTGAAATTAAAAAAGATTAATTTTGGTGCACAACTTTGCGTTGAGCACTGGAAAAATATTGTTCCTTGTAAAATTTTGGAGATTAAATTATTTGATCATCACAAGTTGTTGACTTTTCCAAATTGCTTGTCATTTCCCACAATCTCTGCTGCCCTTCTGGAAAAACTGGTCATAGAGAGATCTTTCATATAGCAACATTTAATTTGATGGTTCTGACTGCACGTTTTTTTTCAAAGGATCAATTCTTTTCCCTTTTTGACCTGTTAAGAGTTTGCTAATTCGTATTTCTGATTGAAATGTTTCAGAAAATTAAAATAATAACGTGTATTAATATAACAATTTCAATTACAAAATAACATAATCTTGACAGCATGACTCATTATAGCTGAAAGGGGAAAACTACAATTTTCCCATCTGTTTGGCGTTTCTCAAGTGTCATAATGAGAAATAGGGGATTCATAATTTAGACAGTCCCAACCATCTATGACGAGATGAAGTGGCTGTCTTTTCGCTGTGTTAACCACACACATGTCTGCAGCTTCACCGTAACATCTGAAAATTGTAAATGCCAATTGAAATGAGAAATCAACTTCATGAAAATAAATGAAGAGGTTGGATTTAACACCGATCTTTCTAAGAGCTGTACACAAACTGAGGACTCAAACAGAAGGCACAAGGTGGTTAACTGCAGTTGTTACTGTTATTAAACAGGGAGTGGGAGGAAATGACTTTAATGTTGTTTCAAACAGGGAGGAAACAAATGCAGCAGAAATAACGCACCTCTTTAGAAATTCCATATATTCGGCGTGCTTGATTAGGCCTGTCCTCATCATTATTGTCTGAAAACATTGTCGGTCGATAGCCCAGAGTTTTACATTCGTTAGAGCTGTCAAAGCACAAACAGAGAAACATTGTTAAACAACAAGTGAAAAAGCCCAGCTTTACCAGAAAGAAAGCACATCTGGACATATGATTAACAGCATTCTTTACTTTGAGGTATACTTACGGATAGCTCAATTTTATTCCTCCAATTATAACAAAGCTTCAAAATTGAAATGAATTAGCTTTATTATCACAGGTGCTCATAAGTTCAGTGAAAACATTACAAGTCCCCACTTATGGTGCCATCCTAGGCAGAAAGGTACCGAGGACGGAGATTCTCAAGTACAATTTCTTAGGAAAAAGAATTAGAAAAATATAGAAGTAAGAAGTCCAGCATTATAGACCTTCAAAAGTACAAAAATCATAGTAATAAATTTGAAAAATAAAAAAGGTATAAGACAGACATGGTGGTAGAGGGTTGCTTTTCAGACTGGAGGCCTGTGACCAGCAGTGTGCAACGAGAATTGGTGCTGGGTCAACAGCTTTTTGTCGTTTACATATATGATTTGGATGTGAACATAGGAGGGATGGTTAGTAAGTTTGCAGATGATGCCAAATTTGGAGATGTAGTGGACAGCGACGAAGGTTAGCTCAGAGTACAACGGGACCTTGATAAGATGGGCCAATGGGCCGAGGAGTGGCAGATGGACTTTAATTTAGATAAATGTGAGATGCTGCATTTTGGAAAGGCAAATCAGGGCAGGATTTATCACTTAATGGTAGGATCCTAGGGAGTGTTGCTGAACAAAGAGACCTTGGAATGCAGGTTCATAGTTTCTTGGAAGTGGAATCACAGGTGTATAGGATAGTGAAGAAGGCATTTGGTGTGCTTGACTTCATTGATCAGTGCATTGACTATAGGAGTTGGGAGATCATGTTGCAGCTGTACAGGACATTGGTTAGGCCACTTTTGGAATACTGCATTCAGTTTAGGTATCCCTGCAATAGGAAGGATGTTGTGAAACTTGGAAGTGTTCAGAAAAGATTTACAAGGATGTTGCCAAGGTTGGAGGGTTTGAACTGTAGGAAGAGGCTGAATATACTGGGGCTATTTTCCCTGGAGCATGGAGGCTAAGGGGTGACCTTATACAATTTATAAAATCATGAGGGGCATAGATAGGGTGAATAGGCAATGTCTTTTCCCCAGTGTGGGGGAGTCTAAAACTAGAGGGCACAGGTTTAAGGTGAGAGGGGAAAGTTATAAAAGGGACCTAAGGGGCAACATTTTCACACAGAGGGTGGTGCGTGTATGGAATGAGCTGCCAGAGCAAGTGGTGGAGACTGGTACAATTACAACATTTAAAGGGCATCTGGATGGGTACATGAATAGGAAGGGTTTAGAGGGAAATGGGCCAAATGCTGGCAAATGCGACTACATTTATTTAGGATATCGGGGGGTATCCCATGTTTGGCATGGGTGAGTTGGACAGAAGGGTCTGTTTCTTAGCTGTATACTTCAATGATTCTAAATAAAGACTTCAGAATATCAGTAGCGCTCACACTATTCACACATGCCTAATATTTTGACTATGGGAATTACAAAGGCAACTGGGTCGCCATAACTGGATATTCAACTAACTGCAAGTTTTTACTGCTCACTGCGTTAAAGGACTTTTCCCATACCTGTCACTCTACCTGATTGGCCAGGAGTTGGAACTGAAGTATCACTAAACAAACCAAAAGGCTTCAACATACTTAAGAATGTTATTCCATATTGATTCATTTTCTTTTCTATTAAGAGCTGAAATTTAAATGCTTCTATCTTCCAAAAACATATTTTCCCCTCTCCACTGCAGTTACGAACCAATGCTGCGGTGAGCTACGTGAATCATGTCCCATCTTTTACTGCAGGTCAGCTTCTCTTCAGCGACCACACTGCACTGTCCACCGTCTGGAATCGTAGAGCTGGATGAACACAGCAGGCCAACCAGCATCGTAGGAGCAGGAAGGCTGACGTTTCGGGCCGAGACCCTTCATCAGAAATGGGGGAGGAGAAGGTGATTTTGAAATAAATAGGGAGAAAGGGGGAGGCAGATAGAAGATGGATAGAGGAGAAGATAGGTGGAGAGGAAACAGACTATCTTCTCCTCTATCTATCTTCTATCCGCCTCCCCTGTCTCCCTATTTATTTCAGAATCCCCTTCCCCTCCCCCATTTCTGATGAAATGTCTAGGCCCGAAACGTCAGCCTTTCTGCTCCTATGATGCTGCTTGTCCTGCTGTGTTCATCCAGCTCTACACCTTGTTGTCTCAGATTCTCCAGCATCTGCAGTTCCTACTATGTCTGGAATTGTAGCATTGCCAATCTTGATTGGACGTTTTCCAGGGGATGTCAACACGTAAACGCCTGACAACGAAGAATTCCCTCAAACCCCTTACCCCATGCACCATGCACACAACTGCCATTCAACCTGAAATAAGAACAAAAATTGCAGGAAATACTCAGCAGGTCTGGCAGCATCTGTGGAGAGAAAGGGTCACTGGACCCAAAATGTTATTTCTGCTTTGTCTCCATAGATGCTGCCAAACCTGCTGAGTTTCTCCAGCAATTTTTGTTTTTATTTATGATTTTCAGCATTCTCAGTTCTTTGTTCTTTTTTGTTTAGTGCCACTCATCCTAACACAACTAACTCCTAATGTCAACTGGCAGCAAACAGTTCTGTTATCTAATTGCTCAAGAGCCAAGAATCAACCAAACAGCTAGTTATCACTTCTCCAATGGTTTTGTAACAAGAAAATGAAAGGGTTCACAAAAACAAAATTTCTTTAACAACTTACGAATATTTCTCTGAGCGTGTTTGTAGAAATTCCAGATGGACAGTTCTACATAAATAGCCCAGGCACTGAAGAAAATTGTTTAAATCACTGCAACCACAGGAAACTCATTAATTCAGTGAACATTGAAAAGTTGAACATGCGAAAGATTCCTTATCACTTCCATCACTCTGTCTAATCAGTGACAGGCTGGAATCCAACAATGATCAAACTACTTCAAAATGCAATTAGTTTTATGAGTAAGAAACACATTGAAATGTTAGGTTTCAAGTGTAATCAGGCAATTTGGCCTAACCAGCATATGCCAGGATTTACTACTGAGTGCTAAATCTAATTATCCACCAATACCTATCCATTTCCGTTCAAATTCCTTTTCTTCAGCCACCTAGCCAATCATCCTTAAGTGATAAAAGCTATACCTGAACTGAACTGCAATGCAAATTTCATATTCTCATGACCCTATGTAAAAAAAGTTTTCTTTTGTTCTAAATCTTTTAAATTTCATCTTTTATTTATAGCCCCTCATACCTCACCCCTCAACTACTGGAGACAGCATGCTATCTACTGCATCCCATCTCTCCATAATATTGAGTGTTTATATCATATATTCCTAATAATCTGTGATGTTCAAATGAAAAACATCGAACTTTTCAAGCTTTGTCTATAAATACAGCGCTGTATTTGCTCATTCCAGACAGCTTTTTGGTGAATCAATGCTGGAGTCTATACATAAAACAATATCCTTCTTGCAGTTTGAAGTTCAAATGGATCAATAGTTCAATAAGATCTCAGGGAGCTATGTTGGTTCACTTCCCCCTCCTGGTTTTTATCTTATATATTTCCACATAAACCCTAGAATTCTATTAGCTTATTTGATCCTTTGCAAAGAAAGAAAGTAAAACATTCAGATAAAGTTTATCCTTTGTCTCTTTAATGTAACGAAGCACTCCACGCATTGGTCAACAATGGCAGGGGTCTGAGGTGGTTATATCAACATGACATTTGAGATAAAGCTTCGGATGAAATTGTCCTTTTAAGGTGCATTTTGTTTCACAATTTGATCAAAGGAATTAAGTGGGGACAAATCAGCTAAGAGTTTGCATAAAACAATAACAAAATTGCTTTTGTCAAGCACCTTTCAGAGTTCCAAGGTGCGTTGCAGACCGACAAACTTAATTACAGAGCAAATCAGATCCAGGCATACACAAATAATAAAATCCAGAACTGAAAACTCAATTAGCGTTTCTAGTAATGTATTTCTGCCACATTGTCAGCTGTCCTTGTCATATTCAAACTTCAAATAATACATTCAACATTCAATTAAAAGTGTAGATAAAATACAGAATGGGAATTTTGTTTTCAAACAAAACTGCTTAGGCTTCTGTATGTATTAATTTTGCCTCACATTTTGATGTCATCTAACAGAGGCAGAATGCAAGCAACAAATGCAAGCTGTTTACACTTTGATCCCTCAATCAGTATTACACATCATTTCTCAGGCATGAGCTGTAAGAATGGCACAAATACGACATTGTGCCAATGACCAAGAAACTCCAGGCACAAATTGCCCCCTCTTACATGCTACACTCAAGTGTAATCAAAATCTGATTCCACAAACCATCTGCTGATGAACTAAGACATTTCCACCCTACATTACAATAACATAGCTCAAGCAAAATACCCAAATTTTCACCAGTTCTGCATAAGCTGCTACAATTTTAAGCGCAATAGAATCTAGATCGAGAGGGGCTTGGGGGCAGAGATGTCAAATGGCTACGGTCGGGGGCAGGGTTGAGTTTAAGAGATAAATTAACAATTTCTCAGAAGTTACAACAGATTTTATTTCCTCTAGCTTTTCTGGTGATTTTTACAATTTTGCCTGATTGATGTCTCATAATTTTTTCTGCAGATTTGGGATGCATTTGGTTGACAGCAGAATAACTTGCATTACAAAACCTTCCACAGAATTTTTGTGGGGAATAAGGTGTTTCAGTGGTAAAGTCACTGGATTAATGATCTAGAGGTCCAGGAAAACACTCTGGGTCACAGGTTCAAATCCTATCACAGCAACAGAGTGGAATATGAATTCACTCAATCAAAAAATATCTGGAAATTAAAGCTAGCCTCAGTAATGGTGACCATGAAACTAATATCAATTCTTCTAAAACTCTACTTGGTTCAATTATGTCCTTTTTAGGAGAGGAAATCTACCATCCTTACTCATTCTGGC